ATCTTTTTAAAAAATGAATTACACCCCTGGAGAGAAAATATGTTTTATTACATGGTCAATATTTAGAATAGTATCTGGGTCAATAATATTTGTTTGGGTGAATGAATGTGTTATAATGCTAGTAAAATTTCTAAAATTAACAATGTAACAAAGAATATGTTACAATGTATAAAGGAACTTAACCACATGATTAGCTTAGGTAAAGTTGTGCTTTTGAAAAAGGCAGGTTTTTCAATTTATTTCTTCCTCTGACTTGTACATCAGTCAATATGTGTAAATAAAAAAAACACTCCTCAAGAACTAGCTGTGATTTAGAAAAACAATATATTCTACAAGAAGTGGAAAAGGTGCAATGTGTGATTGTGTGTGGGTGTGTTTGTGTGTGTGGGCGTGCATGTGTTATGAATTGAAATGAAAATTGTGTTTAGCTGGACACCAGAAGTAGATTTTTCCATTTAAATTGTTGTCATTAAACTCAAAATGTATTACAACGTTGCTTTTCTTTCCAGATCATGATACATCCTACAGGTAAGTACTGAGATTAGATAAAAAGAATGTTTTTATTTAAATATGGAGGGGAAAATTTACTGTTCCACATTTTCTTCTAGGTTGCTATGCCTGGCTCTTACCGCCTGCTGCTCATCTACAACATAGGGTAGAAGAGACCTGAGGAGTAAGAGAAGGTGAGGAGTAAGGGAAAGTCTGGCCCGGACCAGCCAGATCATGGGTTGTCGGAGGGCAGAACAGGCAGGGTCTGAAGGTGGGAGTGGCATTGGCTAGCAAGTTGAGTGCAAGTCTTCGGCCCGCTCCCCTTTTCCCCCCTTTTAGGAATCTCTGCTTGCCGATGCCACTCCCACCTTAATCCCTGCCTGTTCTGTCCTCCGACAACCCATGATTGGGGCTGTCCCAACAGACATCCCCATGTCCCCCCCACCCCACGATTCAAACGCACACAGTGCATGTGATTTCAGAAAATCTCAGCCATTTTGTAAAACAGGAAGCCCAAGAAGAGATCATCCAGCCTTGATTGACCACTGAAGGAAACATCCTCCAAAAAAGGTTTGATTGTCCTCTTCTCTGTCACCCTGGAGGATTTCAGAGCTCACAGAGCGATACTCCTTTCTTTTGCAAAGTAAGAAAAGAACTACTATAAAGGCATGCTCTCTGTACCATGCTAGGTAAGAGAACTGGAAAGATGGAGTCTGTAAATTAATTTACTTAAAGGAGTACATGTTCACCCACTTGGACTCTACAGTAAGAGCTGAAGTTGATGCAAGCTTTAATTTTTATTCTAATGACAAGGAGCATTTGCCATAGAGTTTGACAAATAATGAAACTGCTTATAGCAGCGATTTTTCCATTCTATCTCCATTGTACATTATGATGCAATGCACACATACATACTGTTTCATAAAACAGTAATTACCCTCACTACACATGATGCACTCTGATAACTTCTAGTGTCCTAACCACGAAATTGATTTCACAACCAACTAATGACTCATAGCCCACAACTTTGAGAACATCAGGCTACAGGAAACAGAACTACGTAAGGTAACCTCTGATAATGACACGTGCCCTTAAAGAAACATTAGATTGGAAGTACAAGTAGATAAACCAACGTCTGCAAGTCAATGGCCCGGTAAGTTAAACATTCTTTCTGGTGTTAGTTTGCCCACCCTAATCTTCAAACTCTCCACTGGTTGTAGAAGTTCCTATGGGCCCATACCATAGACTTGCTATTTCCAACTCCATGTAGACTGGAAATAACCCCCTGAGATACTGGGTCTTAATCCCTGGAAGTTGCAAATACTACTATACATAGCAAAAGAGCTTTTGCAGATGAATAAATTAAGGATCTTGAGATGAGGAGATTATCCTGCATTACCCAAGTTTGTGCTAAAAGAAGTTACGTTTCCCACAAGAGGAAGACGGTAGAAGATTGACACACTTAGAAAAGACGAGGAAGAAGAAGCAGAGAGATGTGTGAAAATGCTGATCTTGAAGACTAGGGTGAGTGGCCACAAGTTAACGGATGCCAGTAACCCCAGAAGCTGAAAGAATAAAAGGACTAATTCTTTCATCAGAATAAAAGAGCCTTTCAAAGGCATGTAGCCCTCTCAGTACTTTAATTTTGGCCTTATGATACTAATTTTGAATTTCTAGCTTCCAGATTGTAAAAGAATAAACTTCTAATGCTTTAAGGGACAACTTCGTAGTATTTTTTTATAGGAGAATTGTTAGGGGGAAAGGATGTCCTGAATGAACTCTGCAAGATACAGGTTTTGTGGACTCCACCCCCTACTCCAGTCACTGAAACTACAACTCCCAGAAATACCAGAGCAAGGACTGCAAGGACCCAATTGCAGAGGTAAGCCACAATTTTGAGACTTTTGGGGATATACAGAGGAGCCATGTTTAGCTGAG